TGATTCAGTGGCTGAGAGGGGAAGTGGACATGCAGACATTTAACATCTTAACACCCACATAAGTTTGGATAATCCTCGCCTATTTTGCATACCCACATGGAAAAGCAAATAACGGGGGAACTTTAAGCCCAAATTCCATGTGTGAAGCATCATTTGAAAGCTACTCCTTCTAGTTTCTGACAATAACACTTTTAGAAGTTTGAATTCTGAATATGAGCGGACTTTAACTTTTAACTTTTACATCATGGTGTGAATGTGTTTGATTGGGTCAATAATGAAGCAGGTTCAGGTGTGGCTGATTAGATTAATCCAATAAATGCAGTGATGAATGGAAGGAAAGGTAAAAGAGGCTGTTTTAGTGAATAGATGAAGAATCAGTGATCAGTGTGTGAGGTTTAGGAGAAACAGGACCGTCCTCACAGCAGATTGATGACATCGATCCGTCCAAACACCGCCTCTTCTGCGGACCCGATCAGCGTATTGATCCACTGAGCATCCTCTGATTGACTCCTTCTAATGATCAGTTCTTCCCGTTTCATGGCCGAAATCATCATTTTCCCGCCTCTCGTGAGATTATAAGACATTTGGGAAAATAAAAAGTTAAATCACTGATTGTCTCTGAACGCTCTCTCTGTCTTCTCGGTGTTTTAAACCTCAGTTTTTCTCGTTTTCCTCTCTAAACTTGTTCAGTTGCTTTCCGTTTAAGACGTTGCCAGGACAACCGCTCGGCTGAGAAACCTCTCGCGATACTTTGATACCGCGTGGCATTGTGGGTATTGTCATGGCGGCTGTCTGCTGGTGACACAAAAAACGTTTGGCGGTGTGTCCAGAGAAACCTGCTCCTGGTGTTTCTGTTTTCTGTCAAAAGTTGTGAGACGGTTCTCGGTCTAAGCCACCGGCAACATGGCGTCAACGGCGGCGGGGAAGCAGCGCATCCCCAAGGTTGCGAAGGTAAGAACCCCAGGAGGGAGGTTAGCATCTGATGCTAACAGCGGCTAAAGACATGGAGGAAATTCTGGCGGTTTTGATAAACTGTTGATTTTCTGCTGGCAGAAAGCTGTTAGAAATCTACTAATTCAAGTTCGGGTTTGGCTCCAAGATGTTTGATTAGATCAAATAATCACTTTTTATCACTTTTTCCGGTAGCATGGCACAACAACGCTAATGTTAGCCTCCGAATTAAATAAAGGCATATTCTTCTGTTTTAATGTTCAACACTTTGGGCATTTATTTAACCGCCCCCATAAATACAATTGTTTGGTTTGGTTTGTTCTGCCGGTGAAGATTCACAGCCATCCAGGTCAGAGTCATTCCGAAATAAAGTTAAAATCAATCCACTGGACTTTGTTTCCAAGTTCGAAGACGTTTCTCTTCCATCCAGGAGGTTTTTTCAGTTCAAAATCTCAGAAATAATGTTGAGTTCCAGGTTTTATATGGTAGAAACATGGAAATAGAAACAGATGAACGGGAACAAAGATTGGAGTATTATTTGTAAACATCTACTATCATGTCAGGCTCTCAGTTTCATAGGACTTGGTTGAAATGATGATGAATCAATTATGGAAATAGTCGATTCAGCTTCAATAGTCGATTCGTTCAGCTTCATTCAGCATTATTTAGCTCCAGTTAACAGGGATTTGATCGATGCATTAGTGGACAGTTTCTTTAATAGTGATAATAAATCAATTGTTTCATCCCTGCTTATGGTGTTTGTGTCTGAGCTTCTTTCTATGATGTAAAGACACAGAAAACGTTCTGGTGCAAATTTCTGAAGCAGTTTGTGTTTTCAGGTGAAGAATAAAGCTCCTGCGGAGGTTCAGATCACTGCTGAGCAGCTGCTCAGAGAAGCCAAAGAGAGGGAGCTGGAACTTCTGCCTCCACCTCCCAAACAGAAAATCACTGATAAGGATGAGCTCAACGACTACAAGCTGAAGAAGAGGAAGGTCGGTTCATTAATGCAGTTAAACTGTCCTTACCTCACTTTTTAAAACGTGATTACCATCAGACTAAAGAAAGGAAAGCTGTTTCTCATGCTGTGAATCTGCCTTTTTTTAAAGGGCTTTGAAGACAACATCAGGAAGAATCGAACCGTCATCAGTAACTGGATTAAATACGCACAATGGGAAGAAAGCCTGCAGGAGATCCAGCGGTATGCATCTAAATGCAAACGTCTTAAATGTCGACGTATTTGACGCTGAACGGTTCAGCGAGGTCTGAAAGATGCATTTAGATCGTCGGACCAACCTGTTCTCCGGTCTGTCCGCAGGGCTCGGTCCATCTACGAGCGAGCGCTAGACGTCGACCACCGCAACATCACTCTGTGGCTGAAGTACGCCGAGATGGAGATGAAGAGCCGTCAGGTGAACCACGCTCGCAACATCTGGGACAGAGCCATCACCATCCTCCCACGGGTCAACCAGTTCTGGTAGGACCACCCCTCACTCTGGACCCATGTGGCCCCAATGTTCTGGTTACGATTTAAAGTTCAGCTGCCGAACAGAACCAGCGTCCTGCCTGCTCGCCATCAGAAGGGCCGCCATCCTACAAATCATTCAGTTAAATCCCTAAATTTGTCCTGGTTTAAATAAAACTCCTCAGATTATTTACAGAAAATGTCTCAATTGGTCAAACAAACATGAAAATCTTTCATTCAGATTAAATTATTTTTTCGTGTGTGTAAAACTTGTTCAGTGTCATCGGGTAAATTCTATTCAGTTTATTTCTATAGCTCCAATTCTAAGTTTACTTTCCAGTTCACCAGATCATCCAGTCAGATTGATTCAAAGTTTTCTATCTAAGGAAAACCAGCTGATTGCATCAAGTCAATTATTTTTGAATAAACAAAAAACCAGATATAATATAGAAAATGAAGTAAATAGAAAGTCATAACAGAAGTAGCATCTATTTAGGGCTTATTCTACTGTAGCTATGTGGTTATTTTGCTCATTCGCTGTTTGTTTGCTGTAAGCGTCATTAGATTTCTCAACCTCTAATCTTATTAATTTCAACACAACATAAATCCTTAGCTGCCACTGATCTCTTATTTATTCACTGGATTGCTGATGGCCCTAAAAAAGTGAAACCACCGCCCGCCATATTGGTACTCCCCACTCCGAAGGAGACACTCAGTAAAAAACCCTCTCTGTATAACTTTTGGCTGCAGAAACCAGCATCGTTGTTCTATGCTGTAGCGCACATATTGTTTACATTGCAACCGGTCTAACTTAGGAGTACCAATATGGCAGCCGATGGCTTAACTTCAACCCCGCTCTACCAACGGGCAATCAGCAATCCAGTGAATAAATAGAGATCAGCGTTAACAAGTCATTAACCCTTCTTCTACTTTAGGCACCAGAGCGCCACCTTCTGGATATTTCTTTATTAGCAGCCAGGAGCAGATTTTAATTAATTTGTGACTTTAAAGCATTAATATTCCAAAGATGCATCATTTCAAGTTGAAACTTTGAACACATTTATTTACTCTTTCTATTTCTGTCCAGTATTGCTTTATTACGGGACTAAAACCTGCCAACAGAGAGAAAACATAAGATCATTAGATGTTATTCGCTTGAAGGAAGTCCTTTGGTTTCTTTTCATTTTCTAGCCTCCATTGCTCTTCAGATCCTCAGCCTTTGAATTTGTGTCCAGGTACAAGTACACCTACATGGAGGAGATGCTGGGGAACGTTCCCGGCTGCAGGCAGGTGTTTGAGCGCTGGATGGAGTGGGAGCCTGAAGAACAGGCCTGGCACTCCTACATCAACTTTGAGCTGCGCTACAAGGAGGTGGACAAGGCCCGCACCATCTATGAGCGATATATCCTACTGCTGGCTTAGCTGGGGGGGCAGAGGGATCCAGAGGTGTTTTCAACGTCTACTTCAGGTTGTTTCAGGGCTCTGAGGTCACATTTGAATGATCCTGGATGGTTTTAGGTCTGCAGACTTGCTTCCTTCTAAGGGTTCCCTTCCCTTTATCATCTCATGATTTAAGCTGCTGATGGACCTGAGAAGCTTGGTGGACAGACGTTCTCCAGGGGATCGCTGAAGGCAGAGGTGGTGGATCTGGAGTCAACAAATTATCTCCATGGTTACGTTCACACAGCAGTCTGAAGTGACCCAAATCTGTTTGTTTTTTTGCCCATATGTGACCTGCATCTGATCTTTTAATTAGATTTTTTTGGTTGGGAAAGATCGCTTGAAGGGCTCTGTCGCTACCATCCATGCTGTAAACCTAGAGCACGCTGGCCTGAGGCGTGATCGCGTCCTCTACTACGCATGCGGGACACTTGAGATCACAAACAAGTTGCTTATATTTGGAAACCTGAACAGCAACGCAAAAAAATCGGATTTCTCAAAGAAATTGGAATGGATCATCAAGGCCTGCAGTGTGAACGTAGCTCATGTCATTTATTTGTTCTGCTCAGCCACTGAACCAGGGGAGTCCAGAACCAGCTTAAACCAGACTGGACTCACCTGGTTCAGTGGCTGAGCAGAATCAGAGGACTTGCTGACTTCAGATCCTAAACCTGAAGGTTTCTGGGATGTTTTGTGGCCTTTAATCTGAAAGCGGACTGACAGGAAATGAGGAGCAGGAAAAAAACCCAAAGTAACGACCTTTGAGTCAGAAACCAGAAAAGCTTCATGGAGGATAAAGGTCACTGACGTCCTTCCTTCATCTTCCATCCATCCATCCATAATCATCCATCATCCACTATCGATCATCCATCCCTGGTTTTGGTTGACCTTCAGAGGCTGACCTGTGCAGATGCTAGGCGTGTAAATCACATCCATCATGGCGATTCGATTCAGTATCGATTTCCTGACCCAACGATTCCATTATTTTCGATACTCGAGAATAAACCACGATACGATTCGATTAATTGGATCATTTTTTTTACACCTTACAGGCTAGACATTGTTTCAAATTTGAAATAAATCAATGAAAGCCGTAATACTGTTATGTTTTTTTTTTTTTTTTTTTTTTTTTTTTAGAAACAACAGCAAATAACAGAAGTAGAAAAGTAGCATCAAAAAATCCTGCAGAAAATGAGTGCAATGCAATACCTCGGCTCCAGACGTCCCGCCCCCTCCACAGACGCTCCGCTGCTCCTCTCCCAGATTGTAGCTGACCGCAGACGGCGCCGCAGACAGACCGAAATTGCGGAAAACAACTGGTGAAGTTTGACCCGCTAGAAGAGCGAGGTGCGCGAGAACGCTGGGACCCTTTTTCCAGCTGGATCTCCGCTCTTTTTGGCCCTCATGTCCCTCCGTCGTCAGACTAAACTCGCCCCCACTTCCTCGCCGCCTCGGCCGTATCTAGACCCACAGCGTGTAGCACAGACCACGCTTCAATACTGAGCATAAATCAAAAATGTCTGCATCAAGCTCACTGCGACACACTGCTGTAAGAGTATAACCAGGAAGCGAGGTAGGAGGGCAAAATAGGTTTAGCGCCACCGCAGCACGGGAGGAGAATTACGCCCAATGGATAAAAATAGACCGGAGGAAAAAAAAAATGAATCGATTCTCTTGCGGACTTATCGATGCATCGGATCGTCGGCTGTTGGATCGATGCATTATACATTACACTGGTTCTGCAGCTGATAGTTTAGTTGAACACTCCAG